AACTTTTTTTTCCACACACACACAAAAACCTTACTATCTTGTATTTATTAGACAGGAAACAAATAAACAAAAGCCTAACCAGAGTTGATATCCACCTTCCATTATGAAACTAGTTTTCATTTTCCTTTCTGAATGGATGCCTCAAACTGACTTCATATGGACATGCATCTGTCTGCGTGAATGCAGATGTATTTGTAAAAGTATCGGTCAATTACTATATTTGAGAATAAGGCTGTTACAGACCTTGCCCCTCCAGTCAGACTTCCCTTTAGCAGTGGCTCCTCTGCCCCTCTCACATCCCAGTTTCAGACAATTTGAGACAAAAAGAGATCGTGAGATCCTCCACATTCCTGAATTTTAGAGACAGCTAAGCCTAAGAACTTAGCTCACAAACACCTCTTCCTAAAATGACACCCACATTTGACTCAAAACACAGCACAAGGAGGCTCTGCCACTTCCTTCACTGTTTCAAATGTGCGAATGTGCGCTTTTTCTTCTTTTTTACATCTGAATCTCTCTGTAGTCTCTGGTTTTAATTACGCTGTCTTCTACCAGATTTAGGACCCCACTAATACCTGTTGTTTTTTTTCCTGTGAAGATAACTGTACATTCTAAAATCATCTCCCAGTCCCCTTTTTGATAAACTGAACAAAGTGAACTGTAGGTCTGTCATTTGAGGGCACAAATTCTCCAGCTCAAACAGTTTGTGGCTTTTCCAACAGCCTCTTATCACATCTAGGACACCGTCTCCTCCTCCTGCAGGTTTGATTTGTATTTCAAATTTCTAGACATGAAATTTTCTGTTTGCTTACATTTAAAAAAAGCCAAAGCAAACTCTCTCCCTCCTCCTCAAAATCTCAATTCTGCTGAGAAAGAAATTGTTGCACATAGCCTCTCTGTTTCCACTGCTTCACCCCCACCGCCACCATGCACCGCGCTTTGTATTTACAGCAAATTCATATTAGCACTTACATTCAAAACTGCTGGGGGAAGAAAACAGTTGTACTGGGCTTGGGATAAAAACATGCTCATTAAAAATGTCACACTCAACAACAATTCTTCAGTAATAATGCTTTTTATATGTTAGTTAACTAGCTTCTCCATCCATTTAACATGTACTTTCTTGATATTGCATAGTGCAAATTTTTTAGTAAGAGCAGCATCTACAAAACTCAACCTTTTCCACAAAATCAGGGAGAATGGAACTCATTTCATTTCTATCCTTTAGTCATCTACTGTGTGAATCCAGAACCAGCTTTACCATTGCCCTTTCTGGACTAAAATCCGACAGCCTGCAGTTTTGCAAGTTACCGTGTGTGTGTGTTTTCCTCTTCTAGCACCATGGAATTTTTCTTGCACTCAGACATTTATCAAAAATAAAAAGCTGGTTAAAGATCTCAGTCTAGTTTTCCAGGACTCCAGTGATTCAGAATGTACTTACAGGCTGTCTTTAACATACTGTAACTGTTAACAGATTGGTTTCCCATGCTATCAGGTGTGCTGGTGCAGATTATAAACCGGTCTGCAGTGCTGTATGCAACACGCCTCGTACAGGGCATAAGAAGTTATTTTACTATCCTTTAGTGAAACAAATACTTCACTCTGCTTCACTTAGAACAAGTATTTTTTGCAAAACCTTTTTCTTTTTCCACATCATTGCTAAACATTCAGCCATCTCCAGCTATGAATAAGCCAGTAATGTCCACATCATATAAACCATATCAAAACTCCCATTTCACTTAACAACAACAAAGTCTCCTAACTGAGCAGACCTGATATTTGCCCATGACTTTTAGTTTCTCTTTAATTTCCCCCACACTTCATAACTAGTTGCCATTCATTCTATACTATTTGAGTCTGTCTTGACATTGACACAGGACATACTTTTACTATCTTCTTCCTCAAAAAGTTATTTTTGTAATTTCTTGTTGTCTACACTTCCTTTATCAGTTAGTTTTGGTCACAGTTCCCTTTTGCTTTTGAAAATTACTCTTTCTGAACACTCAAATATGTAATTCCACTGTTTGGAAGTATCTTTTGGTTATACTGTTAGAAGACCGTCCCTATGCAACACAAATTTCTTCACTGTAAGCTCCCATAAAGCTGCTTGAACTAAACAACCTTGTATTGAATGTAACACATTTTATGCTAGAAAATTATAATTTACAATTTCCAGGCTAATTACATTTCACCATTTTCTGCATTTATCTACAGCATAAGCTTCCCATACAATGGTATTTTTTCTTTATATGCTTTTCATAGCCAAGTGCTCAAGAAGCAATGTACTTCATGCTCGGTTTGCAACAGACCGCTACGAGTACCACCCTCTTGGGTTTGTTCATTAGTAGACTGATTGATACATATTCAAGATCCTCGTATTAATTAACTTTAAAGCAGGTACCAGTGTCTTTAACGTTGCATACTGTCCTCCCCCTCTTTTAGCCACTCTGTCCTTAAGTAGGCTGTAAGCACTGATTTCACATTCTTATTTTATGAACTGTTCAAAAAGGTTTCAGTAATATCAATTATATCTCATTTTACGCCATTAATGAGAATTTCCCATTTATCATACTTGTCACCAGGTCTTATCACTGATATAAAACCAATTGCAAATCTTGCTTTCAGTTCTGTTACAAGTGTAATTGGCTCCTATGACACCAACTTTAGACTGCATCTGCCTGCCCAGGACGCTTTGCTTGGGCTGTCAGTTGAGCCCCTTCCTGGTTGGTACAGGCTCCAGCCAGGAAAATTCCCCATGCTGTGTCTCTTCACACAGTCTGCCTTCCCAGGGGACTTTGTCCCCAGGTGCTGCACAAAGAAACCTGCAGATTCGCTCTAGCCAAAGCCAACAATTCCCCCTCCAGCATTTTATTTTGTGGATCTTCCTTTCCATTACATCTTTCTTGGCCTCCTAGTTTCCTTTTTCTTAATAGTTGCACTCATGATGCTTGTCAACTTACCTACTGCTTGGCAGCAGTACCAAACACCTTATAGCTATGGCTCCCACAGCTCCCTGCTTTATCTCTCCACTAACAGTTCCTGCTATTAGCCAACTTACTCAAATAAATATGAATGACTTTACACTTCCTGGCATGCTGAATGTCTCCTGACTTTGGTTTGGGTTTTTTTGTCTACAAAGCACCAGTACACTCCTCTGAATCCAACTTATTTTTCCTTTTCTTCAGTGGCATCAGACTTTCGATTGTGACTGTTAATAAAAGATACTGCATGTATAAATTTTTCCATCAGAAAGTTAAAAGGTTTAATGAAAAAAATTAATATGGTTTCATGGTTTGACAACCGAATTTTTTAGCAGATTTTAAAGGCAACCAGGCTGGCACACAGAGCAACAGGGCAGGTAAGGTCTTAAATGCAGCTTACACTGATGGGAGTTTTTTATTACTGCTATAAAACATTATAAAAATTTACATTTGGTGGCGAAAAAGAAGAATTAGAAACAACTGAAGCCATTCATCCAAATGTAATGGATGTTTCTGAAGTTCATTATTATACTTCTCTACCTATGAAGTAAGCAGTGACATCACCTTATCAATACACTAATATAATATTTATGAATGTACATCAGTACAATAAATAACTGTATATAGCAATAAAGGTAGAAACAAATGGAGGCCTATGCAAAGAAAATAACTGATGACTGAGGAAGCTGTTGAAGAAACGTAGTCATTGTTTGCCATGTTGTTCTAGTTTTAAGCAGGTGATTATTCTGTTAGAGATTATCACAACACATCTGCAGAAGGCATCTGAGTTGAGACAGCACACTCCCCAAGTCCTGGGTGATCAACAGACCAACAATACTGTTAAATGGTGTTTAACATTTCATAAGGATTCTCTTTACTTGTTCTGAGCGGAAGCCAAGCACCTCAGCTCTGTTACACCAAGATGGTCTGAACTCCACACAATTCTTCAACAGGACCAGAACCCTCAGAACCAAAGTAGCAGCCACTGCCATGTGAGCTACCACAGGACTTCTCCTTAGAAGCAATTTATCATCCCATTTAAGTACACAAGGCATTTATTGGACTAAAGAATTTTGCAAGTGTTTGCTGACAGCATTGTTCCCTGATACATTAAGAGGAACAATGAAGAAAAAGTTGCAAAACTTCTACTGAAAAGCAAGCTTTTCAACCCAAGACATACAAATGGCTAACTGGTATTGTCTGAAACTAAAACCCAACAAAGCCTAAAGCCTACAGTCTCAAACAGAATCTGTGAAAATTCTGTGCAAATTACTATCAACTTGGAAGCTACAAGGAAGTGAAAACATAGTGTTATAAGCAAAAGACTGGTCAACATCCTGAATCAAAGGTGTTACCAAGCCCAGTTTAGAGTTGTGATCATTTAATAGTAACTTCAGGTGTCAGCAGAGAGATCACTGAAGGAAAATGCAATTTTTGAGGGACTGTCTTCAAAACCACTGGAAGTCATATACGAAGAGAGCTTTTCATGAATCACACCCACGTTTAGCAGAGAACTTGGCAGTATTTAGGAAAATTTGGCAGATTTGAGAAATCTGGGACTGAACAGCCCTAGTACAGCTAGTCACAACTAAGGCGTGCAACAACAGCTTTACTCCAGTGGTGTCAGGATTACTACTCCTTTGCTCGAGTACCAACTTAAATCCCAGATTTCAAAAACAGTATTTGAATGCTATTTACATATTGATACGTTGTGACTACTAATATTCCAGCAATGCTGGCCCAGCCACATATTGTTAGTAGGATTTCTGAAGACAATCTCTGATATACATTAGAGTGAATTTACTGTATCATTAAAAAGAAAATTATTACTGTTCTCTGGGGGAGTTCTTTCTTCCCCCCCCTTGTTAAATTAAAGATCTTGCTGCCAAATTAAAAAAAGCTTTTTTAATTTAGTACGACTTGAGAAAATAGTGAGGTTTTGTGTTTGGGGTTTGGTGGTTTTTTTTAAACTGTAAAAAGTCTGAGCGTTAACAGATCTACATTTGACTGGATACTCACTCTGTCGCACAGCTCTTCAAACGTGAAGTCTGCAATGGTTCCACACGCTTTATTCAGCCTCAGCTCTCTGCCTTGCACTTTTAGAATCCTTGGTCTAGTTACTATGGGAACATGAACAAAGACTCAATCTTCTCTGGATAATTACTATAAAATTCATCTCTTACAGATAGGAAATGCATAGCTTGATGAATAATAGCACATGATTCAACACATAAATTAGACAAAATGCTGATACAATGACTGCCACTTGAGTGTGGCATCAACCCATATACAGCAATGGAACTTATTAATTGGTCAGTGGAGATTGGGCATTGTGTTCTAAATGTATTCTCTTTCAAGAGAAATTAACTTACGTACAATCATTTTGTTTCTGAGCCAGCTCATCAAACAACTTATCCATGACAGCCTCCACATCAGCTTCACTTGTGCTACAGTGAAAAGAATAATAGAATATGAAATTAATAACACTTGAAGCCAACATCAAACAGCTGCCTGAGCCTGCTTAGCTTTTTGCCCATAAAAAAGAGAACAGGATGTTATGCTCTAAATACAAACATTAGATTTAGAATACACTTAAAAGTAGAGAATATTAACTCTCAGGTAGATGATTCTGCCTTATTTGCATACACTGAAAGACTTCTGTGTTTTGAGCCGTTTCCAGTAATGAGGCAATACAGGCAGAGCAGATCCATTAACACTATGTGTACACAATGAGAAAAAAAGCCTTCTGGCTCTATCTTGCATGCAAAATAAGAGCAAATAGACAAGGCAAGGCAGTCAAGCACCCAAAGAAGTATCCTTTGAAATTTCTGAGAGGGGACTTTGTGAAATTAAATATTGCAGCAGCTTTTGGTGGGGGGTGGGGGGGAACAGAGAGTCAACTGATTGTATTGATCAGACAATTTGCAAAATTAAACTGTGAAATTCAAAGTAATAGCATGATCTCTGCAGCAGTAATTTTATCAGTTTCCCCTCTCTGTCCCCAATACTATTTGGGAAAAGATCAACCATGGACAGTGAAAATGCAAAATATCTGTGCTGAGAGCTCAAGTAAAGTTTATATTCATCTTCTGGTTGCCACAAGAATTATAAATCGGTCTGATCAGAGAATATTTTTTGTCACTGAATGAGTTAGAGAGCCAGCCTTCCTGTATTTCATTCTTATAAGACAGGTAGATAATACTTCTAGCTGAGTTTGAAAGCTAGTAAATGAATGCCACAGTAGACAATAAACTAGAACTAGGATATAGAACGCTTCTCTGGAGTTTGTGTAATCTCCTTTGGTGTGAAAAGTCTACTTCTATAGATCATGGCTGCACTCAAGTTGCATTGCTTCACACAGCTCTAGATCTGCTCTAAGTGACAAGAGACAATCAGCACATCACACAATTACTTTCCTGTTCATTAAGCCTTAAGCACCTTAAAAATGTTAAGAGCAGAACTGAAATAACTACTTTTCAGCTCAAGCATAGCAAACCTTGTAGATACAAAGAACCTGAAAAAAGAAAAACCCACAAACTTCTGCAAGTGCCATTTCAAACACTGTAAAAAAACCTTTTCTGAATGGATTACATAAAACTGTAACTTCAAAAAAAAGTTTCTCTCAACATTCATTTTTGTGTGCTGCTTTTCTCTGACAAAATGACAAATGAAAAGGGACAAAAACCAGAAAAAAAAAAAGGC